TTGTGGAGAACATTGAGATCAGCCTTGGGAAGTTGTGTGAAACATACGCCACAAATCAATTGTGACAACATTTTAGGCAACTGTCCATAATGCATGCCCCTATAAGCAATACCGCAGCGATGCTGCTCAAGTCTTCGAGACATACAATTTAATTTAATTTATAAACGTTTTAAGAAAAAATACAATTGTTGCTTTGATTCCATCAAAAAGAACGATGCAGTGTAAATTAGAGAAACACATGAAAAAATGAAATGAGACACACAGGCTTTACTGATGGCCAATAATAGTCTTTGTGGTGTGAGATTGTATCTGTGGTACACATATGTATATTTAGATATATACGTTTACGTGTGAAATTGCAACAAATATCCACTGCTCGCACCATCAGCTGATGTGTTACATGAATTACCAGTGAAGGGAGATAATCGTGTTCTTCATTTATTGCCTTTACAGCAGAGACATGGGTAAAAAAAGATTGTTGCCTCATTTTAACTGGAGTTTTTGCACATACTGCATAACGCCCACACAATAACCTTTTCATTGTGACAGATCAATTGTATCGCATTTTCTTAGAATGTTTTTAAGGTAATTTATATCACTTTACTTCTAATTTGAGACTCTGTACATTACTGTCATCAGATGAGGTAACAAAATATAAGTGAAACAAAACATTACCCTCACAGCACACACTGAGCTGCTGAATATTTACTTGGCGCTGTGTGTAATGCAGAGGACCTGGTATTCAATCTATCAGATTCAGCCATGAAGGAGCCACCCTGAGCAGAGGCTTGCTAACTTTTAAATGTGACCGACTGAGAAATGGTTTTAGAATTGATCATGAAATCTACATACAAATGTTGTGGGTATTCAACCGGATATTTGTTGTTGAAATTGGCTCCACGGTCAATGGAATGATGATAGCAGGAATCAACTAAAGGGGCAGCTCTTCGGCCAATCATTCAATTAGTGACTAATTAATAAAATGTTTGGATTTCCCAGAGAGAGAGAGAAACATTACTGAACGTTAAAGAATCATCATAATCTATGTCTGAAGCCCAGCAGTAAGTACTTGGCTAAGCTCCATCTGAAACAAAGCTTAAGAATTCCATTTTATAGTTTTTTATTTAATTTTATCCGATTCTATCGAAGATATAGATTGAACAAATCAAACCCAACACATTACGTTTCATAACTTTTGTTTATTGAAAGTCGACAAAACCGCTTCACAGTCTTACAAACTATTAGAAACTGGTTCTAGATTTGTATTGGTATATTTTGTTCCAGTGATACAATAGCTTCTTAGCTTTTATAAACTATTATAGTTTATAGCTCAGCGACATTATCAGATTAGTATTATACAAATTTGAAGTTGAAATTGCATTGACTTGATAAATGATAGGTAATACAAACTAATCAAACATTATGTCTTCCTGCAGTGTCAGAGCAGTGACACAATAACACACCACATTGATGTACACACTGTAACTAGTCTACATTAGAAGGGAACTGTGAGGAATCTGCATCGATAATTGTCTATTATTGTGACATTATGCGGTTCCTGACTCCATGAAAGTGCCATCTTCGTAGTTTCTGATCTTTACCTCGGAATACTCTGAATTCTTGTCGCTGTGTTTAGCTTTTCCTGTATTTTTGGAGCGAGGCAAATCCAGAGCAGCGTATGTCAGCTTGTTAGCGGCTGCTCCTCGCTTGGTCTGAAAAAACAATGTTTGGTTTGTCTTTGTTACACAGAGAGATGTACATAGAATGGTACAGGAACTGACCATCCGGTGTTTATACTTCATACGAGCTCCATCCCTTCCTATTTTCTTCTATAACTCTCTTATCTCTTCCCCTCATGTATGCAACACGTTTTAGGTTACATTATTCCAAACGCTTCACCCCCAAGGACGATTGGTAAATGTACTGCAAACTGCGATATGTAGCTGCAGATTTAAGGGTTTTAGATCTCAACGATGAGCTGACAACTGCTTTCATGAGTTGGCGAAGATTGGAGGAGGGGACAAAATCATTACAATGAAAGTCAATGAACCCAATTTACCAAATCTGTTCAATACAAGATTTCTCTATGCTGTGTACCTGGGCGTATACTGTCCTGTCTTCCTGATGTTTAGTTCTTGGAGTTTTATTGGAAGTGCTCAAATCCAATGTTACATAAGCCACGTTGTCACCCGCTGCTGCCTCCCCCGCCTGTAAAACAAAGGTACGTGGTTGTTCCGTTGCCTTTCTTGGTCTGTCATCTTTGACCATGGAATTGAATAAGTGGGTTTAGGGAAAAAAAACGTCTGCTGTCAAGTTGAAATAGTTAAAGACATATCTTCATTAAATGTATCGAGTTCTGTCTAACAGTCAGTGAAATTCATTTTTCCAACCGATGTTTTGAAATCCACCCTGTTAAAATATGTTGCATACCTCATTAGTCGGATCAAACAAGAATGATTACTTAAAATATTATCACTTAAAACATGCTGGGACTACTCATGTTCCATGTCATATGCCTGACTGGGAAGGAATACTAGAAAATTAATTTACTGATAGCAAACCATAATTATTTAAGTAACAACTTAATCCTGAAAGGGGAAATAAATAGGGCTGTAATTCTGGAGGAATGATGTTAAGGTGGGAACCTTTCAGTTCATAACCCAAGTCAGCATGAGCTGTACCTTGTTAGAGGTTGGTTGTCAAACCAAGTTCCTGTACTCTTGTTAAGTTTACTTTAAAGATCATTTGAGAACACAGAATGAGGTTTGTCCGGTGTCCTCGCGAATGGTAATCATGATAAATTGGCGAAACACTTCATGACAGTTTATCGGACCATATTGTGCGAAAGTTGGTTCGAGCAAATAGAATCGCTACAAAGACAACGATTGTTTATGAAGCATTTTAAGATGTTTGGAATGATACCGGCCACAATGATAATCACTGAGTTGGTCCATTGGTCACCCAAATGATTTGGTGATAAACTTACCCGATCTTCAAGATTGCCCAATCGAGTCAGGTTTCCTTTTGATCCTAAATATGAATTAAATTTACGGAATGAAATATTTACTCGATTTCAATATTAATTCACTAGAATAATATCATTGTTCTACATTTCAGGATGAGTGAAATAGAAATATTTGCCTGCACCCTTTTCCTTCTCTCTGAATCTCCCCTTCACTCATACTTTCCGAAATCCTCAAAACGGTGGAACTGTTTTACTTGAACATTTTAAATCTCAAGCTTGGCGACGCCTTTCCACTATTCCTTAATTCTTTTCATTTTTCCTCTTGGCCGAGGCCACTCACCTGGGGCTCTCCATCATAAAAACTTATTTTCGATGTCACAATTTCAATATAATGTTTAACTATTGCTAATAAATATACATCTGCATTTATTTGACTCCATTCATCACTACAGTTACTTACAGTTACTTACAAATGCACGCAATTCATCGTATTTGAAGCCGATTGCAATATGTTAGACAGATTGCAGACATTTGATGTTGTAAAATGAGAAATTCTGCGATACTGAAATTCACCATGTGAAATAATTACAGGGCTGAATCTGTAGCAATAACTACCAGTAATTGGTATTGTATAACCGTAGCATCACAGAACTCTACCTTCAAATTTGAAGTCACAATCAAGCCACTTGTTTTTCCATTTGCTAACCCAGTGGTGCTTTCTAACATTTGGTATTAATGTGTAATATTTACAATTAATTGCAATGAAATCAGAATTTTCTTACCGTTTTTCGTTTTNAATTGGCATCGCTTCCCAATTATGATCACAAGCGCCAGAAATGCGACCCCTCCCACTGCACATCCAGCCCACAAAATATAGTCAGTTACATTTCCACTACCTAGAAAAACAGTGCAAACTGAGGTGAAACACTGTGCAACGCAACAATTCATAGTTCCTGTCATCGCAGAAGAATAGAAATGTTATGCATATCATTTATGAATTTTATTTGTAGTGATTCAAACTGAGTATTAAGCACCACATGCGGTTTAAATATTTTGACTAATCTTAATTTGTGTATTTATTGAAATAAGAATAAAAATGACAGGATCATCACCGAAAACAGTTTGATATTTTGTAGTGTTACTAATGACATCTGATCGCTCTTATTTTTATTAACGCTCTTGATTATATTACACACGGGAGGTGACACGCAGAACACACAGACACCAAAACGTACCATTGATTTTCAGAGGAATCCCCACAAAATACAAACCATAAATTGTAGAGTAAGACGGCTGTACCCAGTGACATCTCATCACAAGCAATGAAACATGCTCACTTGTTATTAATAAAACGAGGGAACATTATGGAATAGAATTACATTTTGTGATCAAATGCCTTGTGTTAAAAAGAGTTTGAAAATTAAGCAGTTTTAGGATGCTTCCATGTATATAATATGTTAGGTTTAGCAAAACCTTCACATCAAACATTACACATTCAAAAGATACAATATATTTTATGACCATCATCCACAACTCCCTCACCACCATTCTCAACACATTGGTCTCCCATCATATCAGCCATCGCTTCCTATCCCCTCAGGTTCCCCAGGACAACAGTCACACTCCATCCCTCAAGCCACAGGCAGTTGCTGTCGAGCAATGTGTATTCCTCATGGCTCTATCCTTGGTCCTCTGCTCTTCACTATCTATATGCTCCCACTTGGCGACATCACTGTAGACATGTATTGCATATTCACATGTACAGTGATGAAAGCCAACTCTCCCATCTTCCTCCACACTCGACCTCCACCTTCGACCCAATTGCTGTCATAAATCAAGTGATTGATCAGCTCTGACTTTCTTCAGATGAATAATAATAATAATCCTTGCATTTTATATAACGCCTCTTATATAGAATGCAAGGATTAATATTATAATCTCGTTATTGTCAACTCAAATCGCTTCAGACATTTTATTATATGAAGAAATGCAACTAAACATCCCTAGGAAAATTCAGTTAACAACAGTGGACTTTTTAAAAATCTTTCAGCACCTTACCTGCTTTAGGTTCTGGGATAATGTAGCTGGCAATAGCTGAAATATTGAGGCTGACGTGAGACACTTGACAGGTATAAACAGACTCTAACTGTGCGCCTTCAATAGAGCTCGAGGCCTTATAGAGTTCTTCTGAGTTCTGCCTCTCAGTGGAACCTGACTCTTCCAGCTTTATTCCTGGTGTTGGCACAATTTTGGTGCCATCTTTATACCAAGTGAAGGTGATTTCCTTTGGGTGAAACAAGGCAGTTTCACACACAAGAGTCTGAGGCTTTGGTAAACTCCTAGAGAAAATCTTCAGTGGAGTTGGGGGCACTGCAGAACAGATAATGGAGAAGAATTGTATTAATTTCGATGAATTGATGGGAAAAATTTTGTTTTGATTTGTATCTGATACATTTCTTTGCAAGCACCTGATTCCTGAGTACAAATGGAGGTTTATTTAAATACACAAATATTCTTCTCACAGCAGCATCGCCCTTCCTCCTGCTTCAACTACGTTATGGTTTTATGAAGTAATACTCATTCATAACCTCATCTTGTATATTATTACTAATTTTAATGATTGGCAGGTGGAAATAATCACTTAGGAATGTCTATTGAATACACTGAACTCCCGAACAGAGGAGGTAGAGAATTTCTGACTGAGTTGTGCACACTGTGTTAGTCTGGCTCAGTTGGTAGTATTCTGGCCACTGAGTTCAAAGGATTTTGTGGAGTCCTGTAGCTCAGTGGTTAGAGCACTCGCTTTGCAAGTGAGAGACCTGAGTTCAATTCCAGGCAGAGAGCGAAATCTTGGGCAAGTTTCCTTACTCCACACAGAGCCTAATAATAATCCCTGCAAAACAAAAAACAATAATAAATTGGTCATTTTCAATCTACGACTGTTTGTGGGACATTGCTGTGTGCAATTGGCTGCCGCGTTCGCCCACAAATATACAGTCAATTCACTTTACAGTGTGTTCTGTGAAGCGCTTTGGGACGTCCTCCCGATGTGAAAAGCGCTATGTCAAATGCAAGGATTATTATTATTATATTATTATTATTTGTGTTCGAGCTCCACATTGGGACTTGGAATTTACATTGTCTATCTTGACACACACGCTGCAATGTCGGAGCTACCATCCTTAGTATGAGAAATTAAAACTTGGTGCCTTCTGATTGCTCAGGTGGACATTGAAGACCTCATGACACTAGTCAAAAAACAGAATGGAGTTTCCCTGGGGTCCTGGCCAACATTAACCCAAATACAAAAAAATGGTTAGGGTGAATATCGTGCCTTATCGGGTCTTTGAGACATCTCAAAGCACATTAAAAACTAGATTGTGAAAGTTATAATGGAAAAAGAATATAAATAATTATTTAGCATTCACCACATTTATTACTTTTTATATAATATCTAAATGCCAATTTCGCTCTTCATTCACACTCACCGCACACAGTTAATCGCGATCCAGATCCTCTTCCAATTATTGATCCCTGACGGACCACTACACAGCGATAGACTCCAGAGTCCTGTAAACTCACATTCAGGAACTGGAAGAAGCCTTTTCCTTTAGTTTTTACACCAAATAGTTTCCTGCGATCCTCCTTTGTATCCAAATAGCCGCTCTCACCCTCCTCATCCCACTGCACCTTCACTCCTGAACTGCCTTGAGGGAAGGGAAAGTTACAGTGGAAGGTGACATTTGTCCCTCTGATGGCAGCCACATGGTCGGGGATTTGAGTCACTTTCACCGAAGCATCGCCATCAACTGTCAGAATATAAAGTCAAACACTGACTTCTTAGATGATGAGCAATTGAGAAAACAAACGAGTAAAAGAGGAGAAAACGTAAGTGTATAAGATAAATGTCACATGGAAACAAGTTTGCACATATTTCATAGAAAAACTGAATTATAGAATGAACATATATACCTGTTGAAATAATATGTAATGCAGACAGGTACAGGAAGACAACACTCCCCATGTCTGCCTCTGGCTCTGATGGTCTGTCACAAGTGACCGTGGATTATTTGATACAGAGTAGTTTGCTGTGACACTGACTTCCTGTTTGTTTGGGTTCGTGAAATGTAGCAGGTGTGGGTCATACGATTGGAAATTACACTTCTACAGTAAATTGTGAAAATAATAATCATTCCTTTTAATAGTAGAAAAAGGTTAAACAAAATATAAAGATAAAACATCGGTTCAATAATACTGTTGAGTCAGTGGTGCTTTCTCCAACCGGAAAATGTTGTTTTAAGCATCAACCTCATGGATTCAATAGTCAGAGACATGCCTATCTGGTGGCATATTTCTGCTGATAGTTCTGTGCAGCTGTCTCTTAGTTATATAAATTAACCTTTCTCTCTCTTCTTGCCAAGAGAGCCCCTTTAAAACCACTGGCATCACTCAATCAAAAAGTGCACCCCCATCCCTCTAAGCTTCCAAATTATTGGCCCATCTTCAACTTACCCTTCGTAAACCAAGTCCTGGCCACTCAACTTTGCTCCTACCCTTTCCTCCATTGGGTGCTAGAAGTCCAGTCTCTACCCAAAGCATAGACAACAGAGTCAAAGAAATGATAATACGCTCACTGTTTGTTTCGCAAGTTTCTGCACACAGCAAAGAAAACCTATATAGAGTAACCAATGATGTATTCTCTCTCTTGCGCTCTCTCTGCAATCATGGCCCTCTGCCTTCTTGTCCTCCTGATCACTAATGCTTTCAAAATTGTCCACCATCCCATCCTACTTGATGACTTCTCTTCCTTCTCCTTAGTACTGCAGGGTATCCAGGGACTGTATCTTGGGCCCCTTTCTGTTTCTCATCCACATGCTGTCTCTTTTGGTGATATTATCCACAGACAAGTGATTAACTTTCACATTTATGCGAATGACAGATAACTCTAGTTTTCAACTTCCACTGTTTTTTCCAGGATTCGAGGTCTACTGATGCGCTATTCATTTGTGTTTTAAGACCTAGATGTACCCAGACTTCCTGTAACTTAATATGGATGATGGAAATCATCCTCCTTGTCTTCTGCAATCATTTCCTTTCTTCCATGCCTTGCTGCACCCTCTCTGCACCTCCATCGGCCATACTTCAGTACTTTTCCCACAAAATATAAATAGTCATATAATTTCAAGGAATAATTATGTGAAGCTCTTTGAAATGCTTCAACACCATGATAAGGTGCAATATCAATCAAGGATTGTACTTTAATTATTATTAAATTTCTACCCGCTAACTGTAAACTGAATTGAATTGATGCTGTACAAATTGAATTGTCATTGTTAATAGGTAACAAATAATTGGATCAATGCAGGACATTTTCTTATACAAATCTCTGCAAATTATATATTATAGATATTATGGAGATCTGTCAGTGGTCGCGATAGTCACCAGACAACTTCTTAAACCATCACCTGAAACTGGCTTGTGGCCTGGCTCTACCGGAAAGGTCAATAACCATGTCAACTGTAGCTTTTCTGTATCATTGTCACTTATTGAGCAGAAATGCCATGAAGTATAGGAAGTTTCTATTACTTGACTATCCTATTGCAAACATTGAATTGTATGATATTAATCAGGTAAAACAAGATATTTGGTACTTGTCTTGCCTTTTCGCACATTGATTTTCCCATTTCCTCCTTTCGAATTCAAGATCCTCACCCTCACCTACAAGGCCATTCACGGCCTTGCTCCCTCTACCTCTCCGACCTACTATCCCCCTACCTACCCGCCCATACCCTCCGTTCCTCTGGCTCCGGTCTGCTCCACATCCCCCGCCCCAACCGCCCTACTATCGGTGGCCTGGCCTTCAGCCTCTCAGCCCCGAGGCTCTGGAACTCTATCCCCCAGTACCTTCGCCGCTTCCTCCCTTTCCTCCTTCAAAGCCGGTCTCAAGACCTTTCTCTTTGACCGTGCCTTCAGCTCCCTTCTCGACTCTCTACCGCCTCCTCGCTCCCTCCCTTCCCTCCCCTCACCCTGACCATTTCCCCCCTGCTCAGGTCCTGACCCAACTGTACAGCGCCTTGGGACGTCCTCCGGACGTGAAAGGTGCTCAATAAATGGAATCTTGCTGTTGTTGTTGTTGTTGTTTCGTGAATACATTTGGCAATTCTGTCTTTCCCGTGGTGTATGGTCCACCTGTGATCTTTAAGTACCTCATGCATATGGGCTTTATTCACATTGATGTTTAACCGTTTGACTTAGGCAACAGATCCTATGGCACTACTCAAAAAGTGAAGGGAGTTCCTTCACTTGTCGTGACCAAGAATTCCCTGAATAAAATTGATTAATCCATTCAAGACTATTTGTGGAACATTGCTGTGTACAATTTTGCTGCTGCATTTGCTTATAACTGGACAGTCATGACACTTCACAGTTTCCTGTGAAACACTTTAAGATGTCCTACCAACGTGAAAGTAACTGTACAAAATGCAAGGAGTATATTTATGTTCCAATCGTTGCATGTACATTTTAATTATCCTCAGATTCTGTGCATTAAAGGGATGCTATTTAATCAATTGGTAGCAAATCTGTTTCTTCTTTTGTAATTGCTCATATGATCGTAAAGGAGTTTGAAGAAACTATCATCTAGTGCTCCTTCTGCAAGATTACGTTTCTTTATAAATTATGGCACCAGATGGCGCTGCAGACTACACCATATTTATACTGTGAAAAGCTATAATCTACAGTTTTGTTTCCCTCGTTCACCTGTTGTACCTTTGTTTGACTGGCTCAGGTCTTCCGTGTGTACCCCAACCCCTCTGCTACACAATTGGTGTCTGTACCTTCAAGCCGTTATCTCCTGAATCTCTGGAACTCTGGAACTAAGTCCTGTAGCTCAATGGTTAGAGCACTCGCTTTGCAAGTGAGAGACCTGAGTTCAATTCCAGGCAGAGGGCGAAACCTTGGGCAAGTTTCCTTACTCCACACAGCTAATAATGATCCCTCCAAAAACAAAGCAATAATAAATTGGTCATTTCAATCCACGACTGTTTGTGCGACACTGCTGTGTGCAATTGGCTGCCGCGTTTCACCCACAAATATACGGTCAATTCACTTTACAGTCTATTCTGTGAAGCACTTTGGGACGTCGAGAAGACGTGAAAAGTGCGATATCACATGCAAGGATTATTATTATTATAATAACTCCCTGCCTCAATTCCTGTGCCACACATTCTTTTTAAGTGTCTTCAAATCATCCTTGAAGATTTTCCGCTTTGACTGTGCCTATGATCAACTCATCTTTGTCCCTCGCTCGGTGTCAAGCTCTGCCACTGTTCTGTACTTGGTGTGTTACATAATTATAAGTTGTTGTTGTTGTTGTTGTTGTTGCTTCGATAGTTCCATCAGGGCAGATGTATCAGAAGCCCAGGGGACCATTTTTGCTCAGTTGGGTTTCTGACACATGCAGAAATCCTTTACTATGCTTAGGAGTATCCAAACAAGCTGGCATATTTATGCCAGAAATTTCCCTGTGTATGGAATGGGTTGTGCACTTTCTTCTTGGAGGGAACCACGCTGCTTACCTAATTTCGGAGAATGTTTGGCACAGTTTGGTGAAAAGTAGATTTGGAGGGATGAAGGGGGATTGCTGTGGTAGATAAAAAAGAATTCAGGCCTGTTGATCGTCGAGAAGAGACGAGAAAGGGTGAAACTGTTATAAACCCAAAAATAGAGGAAGTAGTTAAATCTAGAGTCACAAATAGCAGCTTAGAGCAAGTCGAGTTAATCAGAAGATTAAACTGGAAAAGCGTACAATTAAGTGCATATGTGTAAATGCTAGAAGCATCATTCAACATAAAATGGAACTAGAGGTACTGGTGGCAAAGATTAACTAAGATGTGCTAGGAATCTCAGACACATGGATTACTGCACTAGTAATGGTGGAAAGGAATATAACTTACAAGGTTACAGGTTACCTCGGGAATCTTAGAGAGGCAGCAATGGTGGAGAGGTTTCCAGGTGTATAAAGAAAACCTGAGAGCTTAACGCTAATGAGCCAACATTGCAAGATCAGTCATGGTATGAGATGCTCTTGATGTGTCTGGATGCCAAGATATGCTCAATAAGTAAAAGGCTTGAATACATTTAGGGTCCGTGACTTACAATAATATTATTAGGAGTGTATATGAGAAAAAGAAGGCGGTACTGAAGGGCGATATCAATCAGCCCAACATAAACTGGGAATGCCCCAGTGTGAAAGGCTATAGGCTTGTAAATGTACAATGTAAATGAACACTTCCTTACTCATTTGACAAAGTACCACATGAAAATCTAGGTCTGTCAGGGAGCACATAAGGGTCAATTCCCTTCTTGACTTAGTTATAATAACAATAATATTAATCCTTGCATTTCTTTTGTCAGATACTTGAATTCAAGTCCTAAAGAAAGGAAAGGGTGCCCATTGGGCTGAATAGTAGTCTGCACAGAAAGAGGTTAAAAAGTCATTTGGGGAGCCAAGAGAGAACTGGAAAAGAACATAAAAACTGGAAAACATAAACCTCCAAATCCTTTCACTATTGCAACAGAGAAGGCATGAAAACCTGAAGGAATTTAAATAGGATTAAAAACAAATAGAATGGCAGGAGGCAGCAAACACTGAATGAATATTTTGGATGGAGCTCCAGAGGGTAGGGGCGGAGTGGCAAAATTCCCGCTTGCAAAAGGTGGGGCAGGTATGGCGGGGGATGTGAAGCCTGCTGATCTGAGGAAGTGGGCAGGATGGTAGGTGGTTAGGAGGTCACAGTGGCAGTGGGGGAGCAAGGCCATGGAGAGCTTTGCAGGTGACCACCAGGATCTTGAGTGATGGGAAGCCAGTGGAGTCGGGCGAGGATAGCGGTGATAGGGTCACCGAGCTTGGTGGGGGAGAGGACACGGGCTGCAGAGTTCTGGATGGGGAGTTGGGGAGTTCTAACAAGCAAGGTGTTTACATAGTTAAGCCTCAATGTTATGAATGCATGTAAGAGGGTTTCGGCGGCCTGTGGTTTGAGACAGTGATGGAGCCGGGCGATGTTGAAGAGGTGGGGTAAGTCAGAACGGGTCATGGCATGGATGTGGGGTAGAAAGAATAGTTGAGCGTTGAACAAGATTCTGGACTGGCTTAGCACGGTGGAATGTGCATCCATGGATGGTGATACCTTCAATGCCTGAGGTGTGGAGGCACTAAATGGAGCAAATCAGGAGGGCCTCGGTCTTGTTGACATTCAACTTAAGAAAGCTAGCTCTCATCCAGGATTTGAAGCCTGACAGACATTCTGTCAGGACAGCAGTGGCCCTGGAATCAAGGGTGGAGGTAGAGATGTGCAGTTGGGTGTCAACCACATACATGTGGAAGTTGAACCCATGATTGTGGATGATGTCACCAGGGGGAACACATAGATGTTGAAGAGGGGGGGACAAAGGACAGAGCCCTGCACGAGATGGTGGGTGGGCTAGAGGAGAAACTATTTGTGAAGATGAAGTGGAGGCAATGCGAGAGGTACGATCTGAACCATAAAGGACTGAACCGTGAAGGTTGAGGTGAGAGGAGAGGCAGTGGATGAGGATAGAGTGGTCAACAGTGTCTAAAGCAGCAAAAATGTCAAGGATGATGAGGAGGCAGAGGGAGCCCTGGTAGCAGATGGACAAAATGTCATTTGTCACTTTGACCAGGGCTGTTTCTGTGCTGTAGGTGGCACAGAAATCAGTTTGGAGGGGTTTGTGAAGGGAATGGTGGAATGAGAGCTTTCTTTCTTCAGTTGAACGTGAACAAGACTAAGGCCCTCCTGATTGGCTCCCTTCAGTGCCTCCACAACTCAGGTGCTGATAGCTTCACCATGCAAGGATGCACACTCCACCTTAATTCAAGCCCCATGTTTGGACCTGGAACTCATGTAGACAAAGAAAAAAACATAATAATTTGTGTATTTGATATAGCGCCATATCATATCTTCGAGATGTCTCAAAGAATATACAGTAATGAAGGTAACACTCCAATGTAATACTGAGGGTTGTAGAATTTTTGGATATTCCGTCCTTCAGATGAAAAGCTGAACCAAGCCTGCCTGTTCAGGTGTACATTAAAGATCCCATGGCATTATTTAAAAACAGAAGGGAGTTTTTCCCGGGCTCCTTGGCAGCAGTCCTCCAAATTGGTAACTTACTTTATGGCTACTTTATTCCAGGTCCAAGGGCAGTACAGATGAAAGCAACGAGGATAGTCCCCAGGATTAAAGAATGATCTTTGAAAGGTGTTTAAAATTTTAAATAATAATAATAATAATCCTTGCATTTGATATAACGCTTTTCACGTCTTCTAGATGTCCCAAAGCGCTTCACAGAATATACTGTAAAGCGAATTGACTGTATATTTGTGGGCGAACGCGGCAGCCAATTGCGCTCAGCAATGCCCCACAAACAGTCATGGATTGAAAATGACCAATTTATCATTTTTGTTTTTTGGAGGGATTATTATTAGGTGTGTGGAGTAAGGAAACTTGCCCAAGGTTTCGCCCTCTGCCTGGAATTGAACTCAGGTCTCTCGCTTGCAAAGCGAGTGCTCTAACCACTGAGCTACAGGACTCCAGAGGCAGAATATCGGAGATGAAGGTGGGAGAGGTTTTAGGGGCTGGTAGAGGAGGAGGATTTTGAGTGAGTGGAAGGAAGGGTGGGAGAGGGTGAGGTGCTCAAAAGAGGGGAAAGAGCCAGAGGAGTAGGGGGATAGGGCAAGTGGTGTCCTTGAGATAAGGGCTACACCATCGCCACGGTGGTTGGGGCGAGGGATGTGGTGGGAGGTGTAGCCAGGTGGTGTGGCCTCTGTGAGGGGGAAGGTGTTGCCTGGGGTGAGCCAGATTTCCGTTAAGGCCATGATGTCAACTCTCTCATCAAGGATGAGATCGTTGATGACCAGGGCCTTGCTACAGAGGGAGTGGACGTTTTGTAGTCCAATGTGGAGGGAGCAGTTGACAGAAGGGTGTGTGAGGAGAGAGTGGGGGTCCAGGTTGTGTGGCAGGGGTGGGAGGAATGGGGATGAGGGAGGAGAGGTTGGCTCCCTGGGTCTGTGTCCGGGGTGGCTGGCGAGTGTGGTGGGGAATGGGGCAGTCGGTGTGTCTGGTGCTGGACAGCAAACGCCGAGTGCCATGGTGAGCCCGGCAGAGGATTCCCAGGCTGGAACAGAGGGAGGTTGTGGGAGGGTCAAGTGGGGATAGAAGGCGAGAGGGATGGACAGAGAGGAGGACAGAGCAGGAGAGATGCAGAGGGGGGAGGGTTTGGGGGAAGAGAGGAGGGGGGAGGGAGGGGGTGTGGGGGCTCGGGTCAGAGCGGCAGCCATAATGGGCACACGGGGACCGGGAGCGAGCAGTCAGGTGGATGGCATTAGCCCATAAATAGGATTGAAAAAGTAAACCCAGATCAATACTTTAGTTTTCAACAAAACAGCAGAATAAGAGGACATAGGTTTAGAGTTGCAAGGGCAATATCAGGACAGATACCAGTTTTTTCTTTACTGCAACTAAAATAAACAACTGGAATAGGTTGGCAGGAAAGTTGTTCAAAGCCATCTCATTTAAAATACAGCTTGAGGGAGTGATGGGGGGTTGGTAGGATGTGTGTTCTGAAACTTTACTACAATATTACAATAGGCACAGCCTAATTGATGGAAAAAGTTAATAACAAGTGCTTTGTATAGAATCTGAGCGAGCGAGACTCTTGTAATGGAATTATCCTTTGACATTTACAAATACAGCAGAACGATTGGGGTTGTAACACTTAGTTGTTTCACGTTAGGTATATTTTTAGCAGATACGCGAAAAGTTCAACACCCACGCTTCAAATTTTTCACTGCATTCGAAGAATTGCACCACAGTTTGTTGAGCAGCTTTTAAAATAGCCCGTAACAAATGTTGTTTCATTTATACTGAAGAGAAAGAGTGACTAGAGTAGACCGGTTTATACAACTTGTTTTTTTTATTGAAAGGCTGATTGAACATGTTGCACAATAGTTCCTAATTTTGTAGTAGTTCGTATTTTTGAATCAGCTAATTCAGTAGTTATCTTTATGGAATGATTAGATTCACAGTAAATACTTTTTGACAGTTAAGTATGGTTACATAAGTATAGTCAGCAATATTTTCCAAGAAATTTCCTATATAAATAAAATGTAATAAACTAATAAATGCAATTATGGTTGAAACAAGTGCAAATAGAATCGCAGCACAGGACCAATGTGCATATTATTCACTATGGTGAAAAACTACATCTAATATACACAATATCTATTTCTGCGCCTGTTGCATTACTTGGATTTTGGTTCCCTGCAGATAGCTGCTGCTGCTCCTCCGTGGTTTCTCACATGGAGCTCTGCATATTGTGTATTCTTAACGGTACTTTTAGGTTTTTCTGTTTTAATGGAAGGATGTAAATCCAAAGAGGCATACGTCAGCTTGTTCCCAGCTGCTGCTTGCTTTGTCTGTAAAGGCAATGTTTGAGAATTAAATCATTTTAATTCATTTTTCCTCAGTCTTCAGAAATCTCCTGGAATATATGCCAATTAGTAGCTCAGCTCTTGCCCCATAGCTCATATGGCAATGCCATTGCTCTTACTGAACTTAGCCAAACAGAATCCAGCTGCCACAATGCTGTGAGGAATAGGTTGGAAAGGAAAAGTGTAAATCAGCCTGTGTATGAGTTGTTCATTGACCTACACAAATGTTTGCTTGCATTTCAGTATGTACTTGATGGCCCAAGTGCCTCATAGATTAACACACGCAATAACTAGTCTTACACAGAAGAATAACTATTTGGCTATACAGTGGCGGATTGTCGCCACCATATCACATGATAGCACCAGAGAGTGAAGATTAGAGGGAAAGAAAGATTAACCACAGGAATGGTGCAAACCGTCTTACAGTGAACACTGAAGCGAGTTCTACTCTATTTACTGAAAACAAGGAAATCCAGTTGGATACTAAAGGCTTATGTTTCGATTTTGTGTTTCTGGGATATACCTGGGTGTACACAGTCCTCTCCTCTTGTTTTTTAGGTCTTGGAGTTTTCTTAGAACTAGTGAAATCCAACGAGTCATAAGCCACCGGCTCATTCTTTGCTCCGTGCATCATCTACAAAACAAGACATGATCACAACAACAACAGATTGCATTTGTAGAGCACCTTTCATGTCTGGAGTACATCCGAGGGTGCTGATCTGGAGATTGCTATGTAAGTACTGATCGGAAAGCTAATACGTTGAAAATATTCCAAATATTTAACATGCAAATTTACAGTTTTATTGAATACTCTGTCACCAATTGCATGACACCTCATATTTGAATGATACATCGAGGCTGCGTAGATGCACATAGAGAATATATTTAAAATGTTCTTACTAATTTATGAAGAACAGTGTCTTTCCATTACAACAACTCTGTTTTCAGATTAAACATCTGCTGAGATGGATTTAACAAATGTACCTGCTCTTCGTAATGGCTGGATCCCTCCTGGTTTCTGCGTGGGCCTTAGAAAGAAATTCAATGAATGAAGAATACATTTTCGAAAATATTTTGCTTAGACCGAATGAAAAGCGATTCGAAGCTCACGAGCTGCCAGAGTCTGTTTTTTCTAAAAATATATATAAAGCTGTCTTCTTGTACCAATCTGTCTTACTTAGACTCTAATCTGAACCCAGGAGTAGAGTCACAGAAATCAGACAATCACTAATTCATAAACTGTCTCGCTCTTGCACTCTTATTCCTTTCAACGTATTTTCGTCCACTGCTCCTGCTCTCTGGAATTCCATCCCGGAGTCTAATTACCTCTTTCCCACACCTCCTTCAAACTCTTTGATGAAATAACCGAGAGAATAGATAATTAAGGGTATAAACAGGCAGTGATACAGTTAGAATATTATTTCCAGGATGGTTTACTTTACTTAGGAAATTTACCTGACTAATACTGGGGAAGAATGAGCAGAGACTGGAGGAACTGGGACTTTTCACCTTGAAACAAAGACGTTTCAATGTTGACCTGATGGAGATCTTTAAAATTATGAGTGGTTTTCATAGTGTCAATGGAGAATTTATTTACAATGGACGGTGATTTAGCAAACAGGCAAATGAGTAGTTCGGAGACTACACACACTGAATAGTTATGATATCGAATCACCCGTTGGGAGCGATGTTTGAGGCAAACATCACATTCGCTTCCAAAAGGGTACTACAATACCTAAAATGAATCAAATACAGAGGTATATGGGAAAGCCAGGTAAATTGGGACAGAAATGATTGCTCTTAAAAAGCTATCACAGAGACAGTGGATGGAATAGCCTTCTTCTGTGCTGTAAATATGTATGGTTCTATCCATCTAAACATGTATTACTTTGACCTCGGTTTTAGGTCATCTTTCTTCTCTCCATCATCCCACCCCACCACCAGCTTGGGTGCCCAGCCCAGTGTCAAGTGCTTTGGGACTTCCTCTCGACTTGAATGGTGCTATAGAAATGTACGTTTGTATTGTATTGTTAAATGTCGCCATAATGTTTCCATAACCCTCTTTGACCCAAATTAAGAGTTCTACAGCTGCATTTCTATTGACACCGGATGCTTTTCTCCATTTATATACACAATCAGAATTTTGGTATATAGGGCACCAATTCTAAGTTTGCTGAGGCGACAAAAGGGCAACTAACACTGAAGAAGATTGAAGAGATATAAAGACTGGTAGATTGGACAGAGAGGTGGCAGATTAAATTGAATGGAGAAAAGTGCGTTTGTACATTTTGGGATGTGTACCCGGGTCTCACGGCATGCTACGGGTGCAGTGGGCCAGGTGGAATGTGCATTTTCTATAATAAAATTCTACCCGTATTTTGTAAAACTAATTAATTGTAGCGCAATGTGGAAAAAGCGGGATGTGAATGCTTTAAAGAGCGAATAGAGACACCCTGGGCTGAATGGCCTTCTGTGCTGTACATTTCTGTAGTTGTATCACAACAGATTTCAAACATTAGTTGCATGCAAAATTCTGATTAAATATGCAGAGAGGGATTCTATGAGGACAATTGCATTTGTGAATCAATCGCAACATATTAATCATTGGCGCCCCTTTACAGGATGTCAGACTTACTCTCCTTGTCACCCAGGATTCCTGAAACTACTAACTGAATTATTGTGCTAAATTAAACATTTACATTTAACTTGAATAAAATAGGAATATATCTTACCTTTCACTTTGTTTAATTGGCATTGCTTCCCAATGATGATCAAAAGCAGCAGAAATACCAGCCCTCCAGCTGCACCTCCAGCGATCAGCGCATAGTGAGGCTGACCGTCACTCTCTACAAGAAATGCATAAACTGAATGTACTATTGACCCCAGCAATGAGTTATAGTTTCAGTAACTGTGTGGGGGGAATCTTCTTGCTTAACTCCTGATAATCCTTTTAAGTCAGAAACATGGAGAACAGTGTTCATAATGGACAATTTGAGTGGTTAAACCCCAGCAGTTCCTCAAAGCACATTCTGGACTTTCATGGTTCTAGCCAGCCTGCGCCTCATACAATTCGAAGTTAGGTAATAATAATAATCCTTGCATTTGATATAGCACTTTTCACGTCTTCTCGACGTCTCAAAGCGCTTCACAGAATATGCTGTAAAGTGAATTGACTGTATATTTGTGGGCAAAACGCGGCAGCCAATTGCGCACAGCCGTGTCCCACAAACAGTCGTGGGATTGAAAATGACCAATTTATTATTGTTTTTGTTTTGGAGGGATTATTATCAGGCTGTGTGTGGAGTAAGGAAACTTGCCCAAGGTTTCACTCTGCCTGGAATTGAACCCAGGTGTGTCGCTTGCAAAGCGAGTGCTCTAACCACTGGCTACAGGACTCCAAGTAGAGTTAGAGAGTAAGAGTGATAAATAGAGTTAGAGAGTGATACCAGTCCACTTCGGTGTTTATACTCCATACAAGCCCCCACTACCCTCTTGCTCGCATACACAGCAAGTTTTCTGTTAAATACTGTACATTGAAGCAATTTATTTCACCCGCGAATGCAATAACTATAATAAAATAATAAATATATATAAATATAGTATAATAAAATATAATAAGAATAAAGGTAAGAAAGCACATTGTATTCCAGACACAGAGAAATTCGAGGTAGACGGCATTATGATCAATCATATTTTCATTTGATATACCCTCGTGAGGAAAAGCCTAAAATTGAAACACATCACAAATTGAATTGATTTAGTGGATGAAAATGTAATACCAAAAACAGTAATCCTTAAGTTTGACATAGCAACTTATCACGTCAACGAGATATCTCAAAGCGCTTCACAGGATATCTTGTGGATTAATTGTGGATGTTGTGGGCGAAATCCATTTGGTAACCAATAATCAATTGCAGAGAGGGATTTACCATGTAATAACAATAAAATTGGAAATACTGGGATTTCAGGTATTCAGGTGCATTTCTAATTGAACAGAATCTAAGAGGTTGAAACTTGATGAGTTTGTTAAGAGACTTCTCGGAAAGATAGTATGATTACTGTGGTGTCCATCTCTATATGGCTCGGGTCAAATACTGTTCACATAAACATTGTCATTTTATATATTTCTCTGGAGTATTTGGTCAGAAAATGATATGACTCTAATCTTCAGTATAAGTAAAATTTAATGTTTTCAAATAAGAATTTAGCTAACAATAATTGACAATAGGATATCGCTGGAATTCGGAAACTGACGTGAATGCACATGTTCTTTTTTTTTAGTGGAAGCCACAATGAGGTGGACGAATGCTATAAACTGCGCATTCAATCAATTGAAAATAACAGCAAAGAGTAGTGAAAATTAACGCGCGGCATTTTATTAGTGATGTTATAGAGACACAGTTATATATTATGTGACAGCAGTTCCCCATTGACTGTGCGCTCAGCTTCAAATGCACCGATAGAATGCGTGTTCTGACCCGAGCCATAGAGAGCCACAGTCACCAAAACTCATTGCATTGGAAATGTGCTCTCATCCCGAAAATCTATAAAACATCTCACAAGCGAGTTTTATTTTAATGCAGTGATTGTTGTTATAAAGGAATACGCAACAGAAGATTTGCTCCAAATCGTCCTCAGAAAATGGAGTGGATTAATGAACCAATAGTATTTATGTTTCATTTGTGAACGTGTTTCAGTCCAAAAGTGCAATTCCTGATGAACGCGCAGGACTATTGCACTTTAGAGAGGTTACTACATGTCAACAACGCTTTGAATGAGACATATTCAGAATTTAATAACAAAACAAGAACATACGCAGATTTGAGATATTCTTCGATTCAAAGACTATACATTTAAAATTGGATTTTAAATATTTTTGGAGTTTTCAGCGAGAAACTTATACGACTATAAATTGTAGCGTAAATAAATGTAAATACAACTGCTAGTAACAAGGTGATTAACAACAAAAGACAAGTAACTTCTTACCATCATCTTCTGTTTTGGATTCATAAACGGCGTAGACGGCAACTGCTGGAATCCGAAGGCTGACATGAGATACCACACAGGTATAAATAACTCCGCTCTGCACAGACTCTGTCTCTTCCATAGAGCTCGAAACTTTGTAAAGTCCATTTGAATTCTTCTCTTTAGTGAAATGTATCCCAGTTTTAACTTCATTGCTATCTTTATTCCAGGTGAGCGTTACATCTTCCGGGTAGAACTCAGCCGTTTCACACACAAGAGTCAAAGACTTTGATGAATCTCTTTCAGAATCTCTGTGGAATATCTTCAGTGGGGTTGGGGGGACTGTAGGGCAGACAGTGGGGCAGAATCACGTTACTGGTGAGCAGTTGGAATATGAAATGTTATTCCCAGTTGAAATGTACATGAATTGATTCCGAGCGACATTTTAACAAAGGAAGGTTTTCCGAGACGTTAACCCATGTGACGGGCGCTATATAAATGTACGTTATTGTTGGCATAACAAGGAATCTGGATTGCAACGGCAAGAAACTGATCCTGTTCAGATGTTTTATTTGGAACAACGTTTCTGGTACCAATATTAAACGATGCCCTGCAGGAGGTCCAGATATTCATTCACCAAATTAACAGTTGGATGAAAGGATTTAACTTCGACGATAAGATGGGTAAACGTGATTTATGTTTGATAGATCTGAGAAGTAATTTGATTGAGCTGTCAACGAATACTAAAATAGTGCATTCTTTCCAATAGAGGAATAACAATAGAAAGGGACACAATCCTAATACTTTGGCTAAACCTGGTGAGACGTGAAATGAAACCATTCTATTCACATGTAGTTCAGTGAAATTGTGGAAATGACTCCCATAAGTGGCCTTAAATGCCGATTTAAGTGGGATATTTATTGATAAGGGAGAGAAATAAAAGTTTTAAGGGGTCTGGAAAGTGGCGGAGGGATTGGATGAAAAGTTCTGCCACCGTTCTCGAACAACAGTAACCTATATGTATTGAGCGCTCTTCACACAGGATACCGTCCCGGAGAAAACTGGAGATTTTACCACAATAATAATAATAATAATCCTTGCATTTGATATAGCGCTCTTCACGTCGGGAGGACGTCCCAAAGCGCTTCACAGAACATTCTGCAAAGTGAATTGACTGTATATTTGTGGGCGAACGCGGCAGCCAATTGCGCACAGCAATGTCCCACAAACAGTCGTAGATTGAAAATGACCAGTTTATTATTGTTTTTGGTTTTGGAGGGATTATTATTAGGCTCTGTGTGGAGTAAGGAAACTTGCCCAAGGTTTCGCCCTCTGCCTGGAATTGAACTCAGGTCTCTCAGACAGAGACATAAGCAAATCCTCCCCATTCACACCAACATTGATTTTGTTCTGCTCTGTTTTTAAATTTGATAAGTTTCCAACTAATTTTCCATAATTAGAACAGGTAATTCAAAATAATTTCACGACTGTTTGTGGGACATTGTTGAGCGCCAATTGTTAATGTTATTTCAAATGGTCTAAGTGTGTTTAAACATTTGCCTTTGATATGAATCAGTAATTTTTTAAATGTCTGAACCCCAGTACAAGGGATTTTGATTAATAATAATAATAATGCTTGAACCTGAAGCCATGGGGCTCTCGCTCAAACATTGCATTTCTTTGTCTGTGTACACTATAATCTTCATGTCTTGATGTGGGAAATCTGACTAAATGCGTTCAGGTCAGAATAAAATACCATATAGAGTTAATATTCTACTGACGGCAGGAGGAGGGTTATACATGTTTGAAAGCGTTGCATAACGGAGTTATTAGCGACTCACATTCCCACTTTGCTGTGTGGTATAAACCCGCCGTTCCCTTCAGTACAGTAACGAAGGGGCAAAACTGCATTTGAATAATATTTCATTGATAAAATGTGTTTCGGGTTAAAGTAAAATCTGTTCCCGTGTCCTGTGCTATCATAACTTTTTGTGAGAGTAGAAAATAGGACTCTCGCAAAAAGTTATGACAGCACAGGACGTCAGTTAATGTAAAATAGTTTATCCATAACGATTTCAAATTGCCCCAATACTCGCCTTTCAGCATTCCCCGTTCCTGTTGCACTCACACTTACCATGTACAGTTAAACTGGTTCCAGTCCCATTTCCTGCTATTTTCCCCTTATGGACCGCTGCACAAATATAGACTCCGGAGTCGTTGAAATTCAGATTTAGGATCTGGAACGTTTTGTAATCAAATATTCTCCTGTTGTCAGGTCGTGTGTGCAAATATTCCCTCTCTCCTCGCTTCCACCAATATAATGTTGTATCTGAACCAGATTGACTGTCAGCAAACTTGCAGCCGAAGGTAACGTTTGCACCTCGGATTGCTGTTCGCTCTGCAGGATACTGAATCACTCTCATCGATGTACCACCAGTAACTGTGAGAAAATACATCAAATCTATCATTAGTAATTGTGGAATCTAAAACTAGAAAAGTGACAAAATAGCTATAGGACAGGATGGAGAGAAGGTGGAAGAAAGGAAAAGAAAAAGATGAATGTATTCATTAAACACATTTTGAAACTCATGAATATCGTTTTGTATTTAAGATCCGCTGTAATAAAACAATTACCTGTGAAAATAATCCCCATCAGAGAAAGACAGGGGAACACATCACTCGCCACCATCGTGATCAGTTGCTGAGAATCACCATCAACATGTTATTGGGTGTAACAAACATTTGCTGATTGTCTAATATGAAATAATTCGCAGTGTCATATGACTTCCTGTCTCCATGGTCAGAGATGAGTGACATACGATTTGCAAAGAGAATTGTGCCTTTCAATTGTAATTGGAATCACTCCTCAGATCGGCAGCCAAGAGGAAGGTAAATGTATTCATATTATTGTCTGTTTTTTGTTTTCTGTATTCTTGAAATAATTCTCCATTTTCATCCCCAAATTCACATTTATAATTAGTATATAATAAATAATCATCTGTCTTAAAAGCTGATATACAAAGCCAATGAAACTACATTTTCTCCAGTTTAGCATCACTTTTAGTCTACACCATGGAACGGCAATCGAAGGGAAAGAACACAGGAACCAAAATGATCTTTGAATCAAAAACAAATGTTTGATTTATCTAAAGTTCTGAACAAAGGTACAATGGTTCCTCTTGAACCTGGGCCTTTAATCATTCAATGTATTACCATACTTAATGTAATACCATATTTTATTGAATGCAATTAAATAAAATGAATAAAAGCATGTGTAGCTGATTTTTAGTAATAATTTACCAATTAACTTTTACAGGATAATAATCCTTTGCACATGACTCATTTGCACCTATTTGCACGCAGTAGTGTCCCATAAATAGGTATGAAGTGAATGACCGATTTTCTCTGAGAATTGTTGGTCATGATACCAGAGTACCCATTTCAACTGAGGAATGATACTAAGAGATCTTTAACCTACCCCTGAACAGTCAGTCTGGGCGTTGGTTCAACGGCTCATCTGAAGGATAAGAAGAACACTCTGCAAACATATTGCGCCTTTCACGCGGAACAGCTTTCCCCGGATATCTGGAACTACAGCTATGACAATGCAGAACACAGCATTACAGCATTGGAGCATCAGCTTAGAATATGAGCTCAAAGTCTCAACCTTGGGCTTAAACCCAAAGTGCACATGTTACCAGGCATCACCTCGTTTGATTGCACAGCTTCCTCAGTCTCAGCTGTGGATAATGCCCGTGGATAATGTTCAGTGGTGGTCAGCAGAAGTGAAACATATGTATATTTTGGAGGGTTGGACTTTAAGTCCTGGAGGTTCCGCACAAAACTTTCATCAGACTATGTTTTATAAATTGTGCACAAACTTGATGTTACGAGTAGGAATGGTCATCGTAATAGATCCCTGGGTTGAAATGCCAAGAAAGGCCATTTACTTGGCACTTACGGGCGATCAACTGTGAGCGCATGAAAAACCAAGATTGTTCAATTGCCCCTTTGCCTTTTGTATGGATTTTGAATTACTGCTATGAATAATATGGATAAATGATGTAACAATTATTGTTTTAGAATTGATAAAATGTATTATTTGCTAATGTGGTGAGTTGTATTATTTTGGGCTTAAGTTAGGCAGTGATCGAAATTAAAATTGTATTTTCACTTAATATGCTTTTAATAATAATCATTACATTTGGTATAGCACCTTATCATTTCTTCGAGCCATCTCAAGCGCTTACTCAAACACACCACCTGCTCCCTCGATCCCATCCCCACCTCTCTCCTCGTCTCCCGGCTCCACCTTCTGGCCCCCCCTCCTGTCCAATGTCATCAACCTCTCTGTCCACTGGTTCAGTTCCCACCCCCCTACAAACAGCTGTCATCACCCCCATCCCAAAAAAAACCTTCCCTGGATCCATTCCTCCTCTCCAGCTACCACCCCATCTCTAATCTCCCATTCCTCTCCAAGGTTCTGGAACAAGTCGTCGGTCCCAGCTCCGCTCCTTTCTCTCTCGCCATTCCCTTATGAACCCCTCCAATCCGGCTTCTGCACTTCCCACAGCACAGAAACAGCTGTGGTCAAAATCACTAATGACATTCTGAACATCTGTGATCAGGGCTCCCTCTGCCTCGTTGTCTTCCTCGACCTCTCTGCCTCGTTCGACACTGTCGACCACTCCATCCTCATACACCGCCTCTCCGCCTTGCTCAATCTTCACGGATCTACTCTTGCTTGGTTTGATTCCTATCTCTCTCACTGTCTCCACTTCGTTGCCTCTAACGGCTTCTTCTCCAGTCCCCGCACTGTCACATCTGGGTCTTGAGAGAAGGGAAAGATACAGCGGAAGGCAAGGTTTCATCCTCTGATGGCAGCCACGCTGTTAGGGATTTGAATCACTTTCAAGCTAGAATCTCCAGCAACTGTCAGAAAATAAAGTCAAACACTGATTTCTTCGATGATGAGCCATTGAGAAACTAAATGGGTAATAGAGGTAAAAACTTAAATATATATGCCAAATGGCACATGGAAACAAGTTTGCACATATTTCATGGAAAAAACTGAGTTATGGAATGAACCCGTTGAAATAATATATAAGGCCGACAGGTACAGAAAGACAGCACTCCCCATGTCTGACTCTGGCTCTAATGGTCTGTAACAAGTGAATGTGGATTATTTGATACAGAGTAGGTTGTTGTGACACTGATTTCCTGTTTGGTTTTGTGAAATGTAGCAGGTGTTGAGAACGCAATTTGTAATCACACTTTTACATTAAAATTGTGAAAATAGTAACCCATCCTGTTAAGATCAGGAAAAAAACTAAGCGTATCTAAATGTAAAAAAAAGTTCAGCGTCATTAATAGTTTATGGTGCTTTCTCCAACTGGAAATGTTGATTTGAGCACTAACTCGTGGAATAAGTGGTGTCAGAAACATTCCAATCTGATGGGTAATCTCTTCTCATGCTTTTATCCAGCTGTCCCCTGTTTATAGAAATTAACCTTTCCCTCTCTTCTGGCATAGTGTGTCCCTATTATCACTCCATGAAAATGTTTACCCCATCCCTCTAAACTGTCCAATTGTCGGTCCATCTCCAACTTACCCTTTGTATCCAAAATCCTGGCCACTCAACTGTGCTCCCCATTTTGTCCACTTGGTGCTAGAAGTTCAATTTCTACCCACAGCAGAGACAGCATAGTCAAAGCAAGGATGATATACTCTCTCTATGTTTCTCTCCCTCTCTCTCTGCAACCTTGACTCTCTGCTTCTTGCGCTCCAAGATCATTCTGCTGCTTTCAAAATTGTCGACCATTCCATCCTACTTGACCATCTCTCTTCCCTCATCCATCTCCTTGGGTCTGCACGGCCATCTGCAGAATATCTCAGGTCTGTATCCTCGGCCCCCTTCTTTTTCTCATCTACATGGTCTCTCTCTCTCTCTCTCTCTCTCTCTCTCTCTTTCTCTCTCTCGATATTATCCTCAGACAAACGATTAACTTTCACATTTATGTGAGTGACAGACAACTTTACTTTTCAACTTCTACTATTGATTCCAGATCTACTGATGCTCTAACCATTTGCGTGTCAAGACCTAGATGAACCCAAACTTCAAATGGATGATGGAAGCCATCCTTCTGGTCCCTGGTCAACAACTCCTTTCTCGCAGGGATTGCTGAACCCTCTCCGCACCACCATCTGTGGCCGAACATCCGATTCTTTGCCCACATAGTTACACAGAGGGACAGTTAAACCATTTCACAGCATATGCCATGAAGCTCTTTTGAAATGTTTCAACAACATGACAAGGTGCCATATCAATCAAGGATTGCACTGTAATTATTATTAGATTGCTTTGCCCTAACTTCTGTCAATCCCACCACAACCCACTGTGTCTCATTCTTTCTCAGCCAATCTTTGGCCTGACTTAATTCCTACCTCTTCAAACATGTCTTATCAACCCCCCTCTCTCCCCCTCACTTCTACCTTGCTCGGTATCTAACCCAAACTCTTTGAAGCTCTCCAAAACAAAACCGAATGTGCAGGATGCCATAATGTAATAATCATTGCATTTAATACAGCACTTTGAGACGTCTTAAAGCACTTCACAGAATATATTGTAAAGTGAATTGAATTAATGCTGTATAAAAGTGAATTATTGTTGTTGTTAACAAGTAACAACTAATCTGATCAATGCAGGACATTCTCTTACACAAATCTATGCAAATTATATCTTAGGGACATCATGAAGATCTGTTAGTGATCAACATGTTCATCAGTCACCTTCACAAACCATTACCTGAAGCCAACTTGTTGCTGTGCTCAATCGGAAAGGTCAATACCCACGTCATCAGTAGCTTCTCTCTGTATTGTTGTCACTTATTGTGAGGAAACGTCACAAAGTATTGGAAGTTTCTATTACTTGAATATCCTATTGCAGACATCAAATCTTACAATATTAAATACGCAAAGAACAGATATTTGGTATTTGTCAATCCTATTCGCACACCCTGGAGTGCATTCCTTTTCTGCTCCCTCCTCTTGTTAATACATTTGGCAATTCTGTCTTTCCATGAATTCCATGATCTTCCAGTACCTCATGCACATGGACTTTATTCATATGTCATGCTTAACAGTCAGAGTCATCAATCCTATGTCACTACTTGAAAAGAGAAGGGAGTTTCTTCTCATACACTAGTCAATAATTTCCCAAATAAAATTGTTGATTGCTTTCATGGCTGTTTTGGGGACATTGCTGTGTACAATTGAGTTGTTGCATGTGCCTACAACTGCACAACTGTGAAATGCTTTGAGGTGTCCCCCCGACATGAAAGGAACTGTACCAAATGCAAGGAGTATTATTATTTTCGAATTGTTGTGGGTACATTTTAATTATCCTCAGATTCCGTGCATTAAAGGGATTCTATTTAATCAACTAATAGCAAATGTGTTTCTTTTGACTTTTGTAATTGCTCAGTTGATCGTGAAAGAGTTTGAAGAAACATTAATCTGTAGCTCCATCTGATGTATAACAATTGCTTATAAATTATGGCACCGGATGGCGCTGCAGACTACACCACATTTATACTATGAAAAGCTGTAATTTACATATTTGTTTCCCTCGTTCACCGGTTGCACCTTTGTCTGACTGGCTCAGGACTTCTGTGTGTACACTGACCCCATGGGTGACCGTACCTTCAAGCCACTATCTACTAAATCT